TAGTAGCAAAATAAAGAAGTCAGTTGTGCTCAATGGAGATGAGAAACCTTTTCTTGAAATTGAACAAGAGCAATTTTGTACTGAAATGAAATTCCCAGAGTGTGAAACATCCAGTGGTATGAAGTCACAATGCATCCAGCAACAGGAATCCGAAGTTCTCCCTTTTGCTCATTGAGGTGCTCGAAGCAAGTATCCTGGAGCGGATGTCAGGATCCACTGCAGAAATCCGGGGAGGATGGGGGTAAGGAATCAAACTCACAGTGCCCTTTGCCCGGCAGCTCTGGGAAGAAGAAGGGAACCTCCTTGCCCATCTTTCTCCCGATCTCATTTTGCAAGGAGAAGGCGGGAAAAGTGCCTCACATCGTGTGCCGCTGCAAGAGGGGATTCTTTGTGATCTGCTGCTGGTGCTGCCCCAGTTCTCTCCATCACGGGCAGTGGCACCAGCGGCGCAACCTCCTTTTGCTGCTATTTGGACCCCGTTTGAAGCACAGCTTCCTCTGAGGTGGGGAAACCTGAGCACGGTGTATTTAAAAGCACAGGCTTTCCACTTTTCCCGCCTCATTATCCTTTCGCTTTCTGCGAGCGAGGTCTCTCAGTGGCAGGCCTCAGCCTTGGAAATAGACAGATATTTCTGCCTCACGTAGGTCCTGTCCGGCGTCCTCTGTGACCTAAACCAGCTCCATCAAGCTTGTCATTCCCCATCCTTGTGCAGAGCCCAGCTTTGTGTCCCCTGGGTTTTCCATTACCAAAGGAGTGGCAGGGAGGGATACATAAGGGTTTTCTTCAAGTCTTTTCTAGTTGCCCCACTATGCATAACTCCATAGAAACCCTTTCTTTGTAAAGGAAAGCAGAAGTATAAATGCTGGCACTTTTGTACGTAGAATCGTTTTAAATTTACTGGGAAGATAATATGGGACAGATTCCACGGTAGAACTCTCAGCTTCCATGCAGGAGACTTGAGTTTGATTCCTGGCCACTGCATCTCAAGCCGCGCCTCCGCTCATTTGTCAGGGGTGTTTTGCATGTTGCTGAGATGGTAGGCGGTTTTCTGTGGAACTTTCAGACTAAATTGTAGTGGGAAGAAAGGCCTGGTGATCTACTTCCAAACATCACCCAAGGGAAACTCTATGGATCCCCTGACCTGCAACCAGTCATGGGATGGTGCAGGATCGGGCAGAGCCTTGCTTCATGGTGCAGGTGGTTGGCATCAGGCTAAGTCAACAGCAGCTAACAACAACAGAGAGAACAGGAGTGCTCAGAGTTTTGCAAACGAACACTCTGAATGGTTCTTGGAGGGAGAACAGTAGGTGGAAGATACTGTGAGTAAGCTAGATTTTCACTGCTCCGGTGTGAAGAGACATGTAAAGGTTACGTTCAGCAGAGGGTGAATTCGGCTTTTTGTATCTGTTCTGGTGTTGAGGTCAGGGAATGAAGGTGAAAGCGGCTAAGGAGTCTCAGTACAGATAACTTCATGTTTAGATTTATGGCCGTGCCCTGAGCTGGGGGCAAGGTCCTGGTGGGCAACAGAATACCTTCAAGGTCAGTACTGTTCAAAGGGTGCTCGCTCGCCCAGCAGTAGCACCTCAGGATTTACTAGAGCCTGGGCCTCACCCTAGGGCCTCACTCATTCGATCCAGGATAGGACCTGATAATTTGGGTGTTTGTGTTTTAACAAGCTCTCCATGGTGAAACTAATATACCTAATATTTGAGAAACACTGCCTAAGACACAAGGTTTTATCAATTCCATATCCTAAATATATTCAGGTTGGGGTCTTCAAAAAGTTTGTGGAAAACTGGAATGAAAAATAATGGGATTTTTCCATCAACTTTTGAAGGCCCCTCATTAATATGCATGTATCGGTATATGCACACATATTATGCATGTATATATTATGTATACATATATATTATGTATATATACATCCTCATGACTGGTT